AGACGAGACACCCACACGTGTTTCCGTACATTTCAAAATGTGAAACCTAAGACAAAAAAAATAATTTAAAAATATTGGAATACAAGGTCAGAGTTCCCGAGGTGGAGCCAAATTATTCTCATTGCAACTCCGGTCGTTATAAACAAACTAAGATGTGTGTATGACGTCACTGGCGATGCTGGATAACAATAAACACCATTTTTCCTTACATGCTTTTTTGATGTTACAACTGGATTTGGGGGGGGGGGGGGGGGGGGGGGGGGTTGGGTTGGGGGGTGAGGGGCATCAACTCCATTGCTGTCAGGGTTTCTTTCCCAGGTTTCTCACGACTTTCAGTCAACAGATTGTCAAGAAGTGGTGCTATTAATCCAGGACCTGTCAAATACAGTTAGCTTCGCTGAATAAGTTCAGTAGCCCTAGTACACACGTTCTTCAGCATTTTTTAAATAACGACCACATCTCTATATGTTGTATAAGCCAAGTGAACCGTACCGCGATATTTTGACAACAAATTCTTTTAAATGGGTACATTCTAGGAAATAAAGACATTTAAAAAAACAAAAAAACAAACTTTTATAGATTAATTCAGTTTATAACCTATTTAAAAATAGAATGAAATCAATTTCTTTCCCGGGATGAGGGAAACCCCCTTTTTTTTTTCTCCCACTTTCCCGGAAATAGGAAAAGCCCAGAAATTCAGGGAACCCGGATTGCCATATGATGTGTTGTCGTCACACGGTGTGATGTCATCTCACCACCGTCAAACCAATCACCCCTACGGGCCGGGCCCACTTCTGGCTGGCTCTATGTCAAAAAGTAGAGTCTTTAGGCATCTGTGAAATTCAGGCTAATCTCTACAGACCTTAACCCGGCTAACGAGCTTAGGGGTCAGACCATGTGGTTTTGGCTGGCATCAAGGGAGGGCGCCACATCTTGTCGCTATTTTCTTTTCTTTTTTTTTTTCCGCCGCTCCTAACAAAAACGCGCCTGAAAACTTGATTCGCCAACTTTGATAAAAGTGTTCGTCACATTCGAGCAAGACATTATTTTTGAAAATGGCTGTTGCGTCTACAAAACAGTAGCTACAGTCTAATTCTACAAAACAATTGCTACAGTACCATTCTACAAAACAATTGCTACAGTACCATTCTACAAAACAATTGCTACAGTACCATTCTACAAAACAATTGCTACAGTACCATTCTACAAAACAATTCTACAAAACAATTGCTACAGTAACATTCTACAAAACAATTGCTGCAGTACCATTCTACAAATTCATTGCTACAGTACCATTCTACAAAACAATTGCTACCATACCATTCTACAAAACAATTGCTACCATACCATTCTACAAAACAATTGCTGCAGTATCATTCTACAAATTCATTGCTACAGTACTATTCTACAAAACAATTGTTGCAGTACAATTCTACAAATTCATTGCTACAGTACCATTCTACAAAACAATTGCTACAGTACCATTCTACAAAACAATGGCTACCATACCATTCTACAAAACAATTGCTACAGTCTCATTCTACAAAACAATTGCTGCAGTACCATTCTACAAATTAATTGCTACAGTACCATTCTACAAAACAATTGCTACAGTACCATTCTACAAATTCATTGCTGCAATACCATTCTACAAAACAATTGCTACAGTACCATTCTACAAAACAATTGCTACAGTACTATTCTACAAAACAATTGCTACAGTACCATTCTACAAAACAATTGCTACAGTACCATTCTACAAAACAATTGCTACAGTTCCATTCTACAAAACAATTGCTACAGTACCATTCTACACACTTCTCTGTTCTATACATCTCAGTTATCCGCCATACCCATTAGCCTCCTGGCCACACCCCCCCCCAATCTTAATTCCACGGTGGACATCTCTCTAATGTCCGACTAACTTGATTACCCGGTGCAACGTTCGATTACTCTCTTGCAAACGACCGGTGACCTAATAGGTCCACTGTTCAGTCCTGTGTATTGTTACATTGCTTTATGCTGAAGTTATTCCGGCTTTTGGTTCAGCCAGTCCTTCCTTCACAGTTACAGCGGTGCTCGAAACCTCCACACTCGACCCTCGAGGGGGAAAACATGCAACATTCTTTTCAAAATTTGCTTGTCTAACAAAAATTATTTGTAACTTCTTATCCTTGAGACATTTGTGTGGGTTTTTGTGTGTGTGTGTTTTTTTGTTTGTTTGTTGTTTTTTTTTGGCCTCACATTTAATCAGAAATTCAGATACAACATTGATTACCGGATATTTTTGAATAGAAAGAAATTTATTGGACAATACATTGTTGGACTAAAATTTGTTCAGAGGGAAATTCGTTAAAAATAAAGTAGAAAAAAAGAGGGTAAAACCCCAAAATAATTTTTTTTTAAAAGTTTAAATTTTTCCAATTTCTCACTCGCAACTTCCAGAAAAAAAAAACAAAGAAAAATTAAATATTATTTTTAATGAACATCCGTTAAACAAATTTCATTTCAAACAAACTTAAGTTCGAACAATTTTCTGTCGAACAGTTTTCTGTCGAACGATTCCTTCTCAAACGGCCACATCCAACAATGTCAACAATCAAACGGTCACATCCAACAATATCAACAAATGAAACAACATCACGACCACCTCCAACATCCCCACCACACCCCCTCACCACTCCCATCATCACCACCACCTCCAAATATCCCGACCACCCTCCCATTATCCCCACGATGAAAACCAAATGATTGCTGTAATAATTTTCCCCCGTCGCATAATTTTCCGAGAAGAAGTTAATATTTGATGAAAGCTACCATCCCAGGTCCTACACAGTGGCAGGGGACAAATAGCCATCCCATCAGAACTATGAATACAAAACATGGCTGTAGCCCTTTCAAAGCTATAAATCTACGTCGCAATCCAAAATAGCCAGTCAGCACCTGAGAAAGTTAGCCAGTAAGCACATGTGGAAGTCAGCCTGGCTATTTCTTGACGGTTACAGGTCATGAACTTTAATCTCTCGCGATCTTATCGATCAGTTTTTTTATTTCCCTTTTGTGATTAGAATGGCGGGAATATTGACGCTTTAGAGATTAATCATGGGCGGATCCACACTGAATAACAACACAAAGGTCTGCTTTCAATGCACGTATTTCTAATAGTTCTAAGTTAGTTTTCAGATTTCGAAACCTTTTGGGAATTTTACCTCTATTCCCATTGATTCAATATGACAGAAAATGAAAGAACAATATAGAACAGGAAAGAATATTAGAGAACATGAAAGAGCAAGATTTGGTTTGAAACCTTAACATCATAGTTATTTCTTTTGTGCACGACCCCTCGGAACAGTGAATCCCATGAGCCCCCACACGTGAAAGTACATGACACCTCTGAACTGTGAACTCCGCGCCCTCACACGTAAAAGTACATGACACCTCTGAACTGTGAACTCCATGTCCTCACACTTTAGCGCTTGTGTGAACGCTCGCCCCCAACTGCGTGTCATGACACGCGACTTGACGTGCCGCCTCTGAGCACTCTGTGTCACCCACATCGCTCCCACCGTAGTCTGCTTTTTCACACGTTAGTTGGAACACTAAGAGGGTGCTGGGTTAAAGTGAGACATAGGGCTAAACTGATGAGTACACATGAGTACACGGATGTACACTGGAGTACACGACAGTACTTTCACACCAATGCTTTTCAAAAACGCATCTGCCGGTGATTTATTATAGCGAAAATGTTCAAGATCAAAGGGAGGTAATGGGTGTAACAATAATCTTCATAAACAGCTTTGGTTTATTTCCCTTGGTTTATTTATTTAGTATTTACGATCATATTCCCTTATCGGTACTTTTCCCCTTGTAATTAAATGTTTTTGCATAAATAATAAATATTTCCAACCCTACACTGGCTGAATAAATGAGGCCGATACTGTTTTGGTGTCTTCTGGGGCTCTACATATGATGTCCTTGCATTTTAATGAAAATATTATGTGTATTTTGACATTATTAAAGAAATATAATTCTGTCTATACCTTTTATTTTTAAACAATTATTGTATAAATAAACAGTTTTTGTCAAATGTAATACAATTTATGAAATGTTTAAACAAATAGTATACTAAATGATTGCTAATGAATCGATAATTACTATTTTTATACATGTGAATCGTACCCGTTGTAAGTTCAAGAAAATTGTCACTAGATTTTAACAGTCACCATTGCTAAATGACACGCTAATGCACAGTGCGCTGAAAACAACATGGTGTCCTTTGTTATTGAATCCGTGAGAAATCCCTTTCTTCAGCTCTAGCGTTTGGAAACAAGAGCAGGAGCTTTGATGGGCTCTTTGACACCGTCAGATCACACAGAGGCTCGGAGCACCGGCACTTCGAGTTGATGAAATATGCAAGCCGGCCATCAGGCAGGAACCACGCTATTACGGAGTGATCGTGTTTCTCGCGGGGAGAGAATTGAATAAACACTTCACTCTTTGGGAGGAGGAGCGCTCTGTGCATTGTGTCACGTGGAGTTAAAGAGGAGCTGCTCCCCCACATCGTGTTACACTGAGCTATAGATGAACTGCACTATATATGGTGTCACAAGGAGCTGTAAGCGAACTGATCTATTCACGGTGTCGTGTTACTAGGAGAGTTGACTGCACGCAGAAAAGGGGAATATCATCATTTACAATCGGGCACTGTGGAGAAAATTCTATGCGTGTTAATAGGTAGAGAGAGTGGCTGATGTGCCGTACCATCTCCCTATCTCTCTCTTCTCTTCTCTCTCTCTCTCTCTCTCTCTCTCTCTCTCTCTCTCTCTTCTGTCTCACATCATATTACTTTGAATTGTAAATCATCTCATATATCCTAATCTAATTCGCAGAATGGCTGCCGGTGTGTCGATCAAAGACGTGATGCTCCTCCCACTCTTCCTGTTGATGCTGATGATGTCTGCAGCTCCCCCCACCGTCCAATCTTTGGCCTTCAGCAAGGACGTCGCCCCCACGAACACAACTGTGGACCCTTTCCTGACCTACACGTGTCCTAACGAATGTGTCTGCTACATTGTCAATGACGTAAGAATTTGTTAGCTACTAAACAAACTAGGTTTTGGAGAACCTGCGGTCTAAATGTGGCCGCATGCGGCCTCCGAGGTCTTCATGTGCGCCTTTTGACTTGATGCAAATTTTTATAGAGAAACCAGACATTCTATTTGGTTTAAATTTACTTGGCTTGAATGCAGTTCTTTAATTTATATTATTTGGTTTAAAACATAAAGCAGACTCAATTTCCAGAAAGAAAAGACAACAGCGCGGCGACATGCATTGACAGACTAGTAGTTCGGCTGGTATACAAAAAGAATAAATGTATTTATTAATTTAAAAAAATATATATATACTATCCCTGCCACTCGCTTACCCAGATTTAACTTTCAACCTAAAAATGAGAATCCAAGGCAGTGAAGACAAATTGAGTGTGTTGAGCTGAAACTATCTGCCTCAAGTGTTTACAGGCATCAACACATCGGAAGCAGCTATGGGTTGAATATTATGAGCGTCTGTGTCTGTGCGTCATTTATTTCAGACTTAGCATCCATTGTTTAAACTGACGTGTTCCTGGTTAAACATCTTCGCTGTCTATTTGCTATACATTGTCTGTAACATTTCCGAGCATTTGTAACAGCATTACCTTAATTTTAAGCGAAATAATATATTTTTTTTACAAAATATATATATTTGTTTAAAGATTTTGATGAATTTAGTGAGCGGATCGCCCCAGTTCTTTTGACGGTCTGATCAAACTACGGCGTATTAAATTAAAGAGATATCGATCGAAACGTGCGACGTGATTTTAAGAGAATTTTAAGGTTTAACTAGACAAAATGGCGGCCGCAAAAGCGGGAACTTCCCATCCACTAAAGTTACCTGACAAAAAGATGCATTCAAGGAATGCACTTTAGAAGATTTACAATTAGTGCTACTCCCTCCCTCCATCCCCCGTGCGCCCCCGCCCCTGGATTAACTATATTGATGTACTAATGCCCCCACCCCCTATGACACCGCACATTTATTACAAAAACTTGTTCCGCCGTACAAAGGAAAATATTACATTTAAACTTCCAGATAACCGTTGTGGGGAATTTTATTTTGAGCGCTATTGAACCTTAACGTTGATGACGAACTTTGTCATCTGACGGACATTGTCCTATGGGGGACTGCGCATTTCGATGCGTGATGTACTACAGTTAAAAGTAAAATTTTATACAACTCTCTTGCGCCACTTAAATGAGAGTATCTTTGAACAAATATCTTTAGTGTTTCGAAATTGTAACATTTTGAAATGCTATGTCTTTAAATGTTTTGCTGCATATCTTGAGCCGATTTACTGAAGTTGGTTCTACGGTCTCATTTAACCACGGCATATTCACTACGGTCTCATTTAACCACGGCATATTCACTAAGGTCTCATTTAACCACGGCATATTCACTAAGGTCTCATTTAACCACGGCATATTCATTAAGGTCTTATTTATTGTTCTGTTTGATTTGTTCTCAATAATTTATAAGCTTAATAATGAAAGCGAGTAAGCATCGCCGCTGCCACTGAAACGAGAGTATCATTATACAAATAGCATTTGTGCATGGACATCTTCACATTTAAGTTTATATTCTTTTGTCTTTTCTTTGTCTCTCTGTTTAAATATCAGGCAGACTTAGACCAGAAATTATGAATGATCTGGAGTGTAATATATTTAAGACAGAAAAAAAGGCGCTTATATGTCTTGTCAGTAAACTTTTCCTATTATCGCCTTTTCTATCATTTTGTGATGACGTAATTATAACATAAGAATGATGACGTAATTATAAAATAAGAGTGAGGATGGAAGTGTAACATAAGGGTGATGACGCAAATATAACATAAGAGTGATGACGCAAGTGTAACATAAGGTGAATACGCAAGTGTAACATAAGAGTGATGACGCAAGTGTAACATAATGATGATGACGCAAGTATAACATAAGAGTGATGACGCAAGTATTAATAAGGGTGATGACGTAAGTATAACATAAGGGTGATGACGCAAGTATATCATGAAAGTGATGACGCAAGTATAACATGAGAGTGATGACGCTTCTTTTGAAAACAAAGTACAACGAAGGGTAAACTGCAAGGCTAGTTATCTTTATTTGGATTGTCTTGATTCTTTAACTATCTCACAGACTCCAAATACTTACAACGATTTTACATAGTTGCCAGAGCTAATCTCAATAGCCTTTTAAAATGATAAAAATTGCACCTCAGCGAGTTTGTAAACAAAAAATCATGATAAAATGCTCTTAAATAAATGTTGCTGACGTTAAATATTGCATGTTGAAGTTGTATATAGCAACACAGTGCGATGGACGCACCTTCTATTTCAAGGCACGTATTCACAGATGTGCCCCAAGGGCATTCGACAGTCGCCATCATTCAGTCCATTCCCAGACTTCGCGTAGATGTATTCACAGCAATCTTCCCCGTAACTGTACGCGTCGTCCGGTTGGTTTGCGCGAAATAAAACCGTTTGATCGGCCGTCATGCGTGACCCGTCCGACCAGACGAACTCACCTTCGACCTGAATGTCGCTGAGGCCGACCCAGGCGCGGAGGGTCGAATTGTTGAAGCTTTTCATCAACTCGAGAACGAGGCTGTTCCTTTCCGTTGTTTTGACGGTCAGCAGGCGGCCGTGGTGAGCGATGCAATCTGAGGAGGCTACAGAATACGTCATTTCCGCCCACACCACTCTAGCACACAGCTCCGATAACCCGAAAGAAGTCAAGAAGTATCCAAGTTTCCCATCGCAGTAAAATCTACCGGTCGTGTACATGGTTTGTCCCGGTGAAGGTTTAACCCCAACAGTGAGCAGTCGACCTCCGAAGACGCAGTCGAACTTGACCTTGTCGAAGATGAAAGCTTCACACCCGGGGTCGTATTCGCTACATAGCGACGCGCAACTGGTCACTGTTGGGGCTCTGGTCAATTCATTTAAAGGCAGCATTCCGTAGTTGGTTGCTCCATTCATTTTGTGGAATTTTTTCCCCACCAATGAACACAATGGAAGGACGAAGATGCCAGCCAACACGAGTGTGAGTGTTTCTTTACCTAAAAGAGAAAGGCAACTGCAGCTGTACTGGCGTCGTTCCGACATATTGACCAGGGGCTCTTGGTCTGAGCTCTCTGTTGTGATGAAGGAAAAAAAAAACTCAAGCAAAAAAACATTAGTTATTCCTCTTGTCGAATTGTATTCAATGAGACTAGATAATGGTTTAAGAATGATTTGCTGTAGTTAAATTGACCATTAATTGTTGTAACATCAAACGGCTTAGTCGTTATGTTGACACTAGTGCTGTTAAACTGTGTAAACCAACTCAATTTATTTTTTTTTTCGGATTCGGTATTCAACTTTGACAGAACCCAATAAACCGTAAAACTGTGGTATTGAACTGTGACAGTAATATTTGCGGAAAGTGCAATGTCTTTTAGTAATAGGTCCTAAATTCAGAATATAAAATATTGATGACTGACGTCAAAAGCGTGCGACAAAATTACGAGCCAAAAATCAGTAAAGAGAAAGTATCATACTCTCACTGTTATATGAATATATTAATCAACATCAAATTTAATGGATTCCTTGAGTATTATGGCTATCTCCTCTTTGATCATTCGCTGCAGGCGCCTAAAATAAAAACTTTTTTTTTTCTAACACCTTCTTTTTAATAACTATACTTTTTTTTCCCCTGGAGCAGTGAATTAAAATGTATATAGTAAACGTTTAAATCATTTCCCGTACCTTATATCCAAAAGAAACAGACACGCATCAGGTAACAACCTAACTATGGTTGTGGCCGGCTAGACTAAAATCGTCCAGAAAACCTCAGATTTAAACATTTACACCGAGAGCCGTCTGCTTCGGACGACATGTCCCACTTCAGATGACAAAAAACACAACTTTCTGCAACAAAGGAAATACAAATTGAAACAAGAAACTCTTTGAGTATTTGATTTGTTGGTCAGCATTGTTGGCGCTAACATTGAACACAAATAAAAACTCTGCGTTTCAATAGTCTTAATCTCAAGGCGCTTTTCAAATCTGAGTGTTACAAATGGTGGGCAAACATAAAAAAGGCTGTTTGCTCTCTCTCTCTCTCTCTCTCTCTCTCTCTCTCTCTACCCACTGCTGAGATCCCAAACGACGGCGTATGAGAACTTCATCAAATGGCAGATAGAAGGTTCTTGTGGGACGTCAGAGAAGGTTCTTGTAGGATGTAACATAGAAGTTTCTTGTAGGACGTAAGACAGAAAGCTCTTGTAGGATGTCAGAGAGAAGGTTCTTGTAGGACGCCGGATAGAAGATTCTTGTAGGACGTCAGACAGAAGGTGCTTGTAGGACGTAAGATAGAAGGTTCTTGTAGGACGTCAGATAGAAGGTTCTTGTAGGACGTCAGACAGAAGGTGCTTGTAGGACGTCAGATAGAAGGCTCTTGTAGGACGTCAGATAGAAGGTGCTTGTAGGACGTCAGAAAGAAGGCTCTTGTAGGACATAAGATAGAAGACTCTTGTAGGACGTAAGATAGAAGGCTCTTGAAGGACGTAAGATAGAAGGCTCTTGTTGGACGTAAGATAGAAGGCTCTTGTACGACGCCGGATAGAAGGTTCTTGTAGGACGTCAGATAGAAGATGCTTGTAGGACGTCAGATAGAAGGCTCTTGTAGGACGCCGGATAGATGGTCTAGAAGGACGTTTATTTATTTTAAAAAAGTCATCATGTGTATAGAATGGTTTTTACACCACAGACCTCAGGATACCTAATGATAAATACACCACTTACCTCGGAATACTCAGTGCTAGTTTTTACACTTAGCTCCAGATACTCAATAGTAGTTGTAGTGCAGACTCCCCAACCCTAAGACCTGTACGTGGTAACGTTTGGTGACACCGAATGATTTGGTACACTAAGAACTGTACCTGGTCTCGTTTTGGTGACATCGAATGATTTGGTACCCTAAGAACTGTACCTGGTCACATTTGGTGACATCGAATAATTTGGTACCCTAAGAACTGTACCTGGTCACGTTTGGTGACATCGTATGATTTGATACCCTAAGAACTGTACCTGGTCACGTTTTGGTGACATCGAATGATTTGGTACCCTAAGAAATGTACCTGGTCATGTTTGGTGACATCGTATGATTTGGTATTAAGAACTGTACCTGGTGACTTTTGGGTAAAGGTCCACTATATTAGGTACACACAATTTCAGTGTTGTGTGTTCCATTCGCCCCTTGTTTATAAATGAGGGGGCAGATAGTGGCGTAGCTAATAGGGTTAATGCCGCGGGGGGGGGGGGTCGAGAATTTTACCGCCCCCATCCACAAAAAACAATGGTAAAGGTCCACTATATTAGGTACACACAATTTCAGTGTTGTGTGTTCCATTCGCCCCTTGTTTATAAATGAGGGGGCAGATAGTGGCGTAGCTAATAGGGTTAATGCCGCGGGGTGGGGGGGGGTCGAGAATTTTACCGCCCCCATCCACAAAAAACAAACTCAAACTGAAAATGCCGCCCCTCTCCGTAAAGACAAAGGAAGTGCCAACCGGGGAGGACCATCCCCTCCGCCACCCCCTTCCTACGACGCTGGGGCTTGTCTACAATATCATCATTGGTAATGAGCAACGTTATTTCTTGCCCATATGTAATTGCTTGCCATTTTGTTGTCTATACATCATGTTAAGTGTAAACTGGTTACACACTTATTATTTATCTCTTTTTTTGTGTGATCAGTGTCTTTATATCATTTGAAATGCCACTTCACACATATATATATATGTATATATATATATATATGTATATGTAATGTATATATATATATATATATATATATATATATATAGCTGTCATAATTACGCCAACGAATGTCATCTGCATTGTGGCAGATTGTTACAACTTAGCTACTATTGTGACTATGTCCATAACTTAGCAGTCATTGTAACTATATCAACAACTTAGCTGTCATTGTGACAGACAGTTACAACTTAGCTTTCACTGTAACTATAATGCCACAACCATTTGTCTCCTTGTTTCAGACGGTGCATATGATCTACGTCAATTGCACCATTCAGCACTTCTCGCCAACCTTCCTGCCTTCAAGGACTTTACTCAACACCATTTCCCATCCGCTAACGGGATATGCACTCTTTATTTGTGCATTTAGGTAAGACACTGTATTCCCCATGAGTGCATTTGGATAAGCCACTGCACTCCAATGAGAGCATTCGATGACAATACGCCCATATATAATGCATGTACTTAAAGGCTAGAAAAAATACAAAGTGCATTAAGTTCAGACAATATACACCACTGTGCATTCAGGTGAGACAATACCTGCATTTTATTTACGGTCAGACAATACACACATGTGCATTTGGATTAGATAACACTGTCACGCTTACGCACATGCACACACACACACACACATATACACACAACACACGCACATATACACATAGACGCCGGCTAAAATAGCTAGAATAGTTAGTAGACGCAGTAAAGTGACTAGCAGACGCAGTAGAATGACTAGCTGAAGCAGTAAAGTGAATAGCTGACGCATTAGAATGACTAGCTGACGCAGAAGAATGACTAGCTGACGCAGTAGAATGACTAGCTGACGCAGTAGAATGACTAGCTGACGCAGTAGAATGACTAGCTGACGAAGTAGAATGACTAGCTGACGCAGTAGAATGACTAGCTGACGAAGTAGAATGACTAGCTGACGCAGTAGAATGACTAGCTGAAGCATTAGAATGACTAGCTGACGCAGTAGAATGACTAGCTGAAGCATTAGAATGACTAGCTGACGCAGTAGAATGACTAGCTGACGCATTAGAATGACTAGCTGACGCAGTAGAATGACTAGCTGAAGCATTAGAATGACTAGCTGACGCAGTAGAATGACTAGCTGACGCAGTAGAATGACTAGCTGACGCAGTAGAATGACTAGCTGACGCAATAGAATGACTAGCTGAAGCATTAGAATGACTTGCTGACGCAGTAGAATGTCTAGCTGACGCAGTAGAATGACTAGCTGACGCAGTAGAATGACTATAGTTGACGCAGTAGAATGACTAGCTGACGCAGTAGAATGACTAGCTGACGCAGTAGAATGACTAGCTGACGCAGTAGAATGACTAGCTGACGCATTAGAATGACTAGCTGACGCAGTAGAATGACTAGCTGACGCAGTAGAATGACTAGCTGACGCAGTAGAATGACTAGCTGACGCAGTAGAATGACTAGCTGACGCAGTAGAATGACTAGCTGACGCATTAGAATGACAAGCTGACGCAGTAGAATGACTAGCTGACGCAGTAGAATGACTAGCTGATGCAGTAGAATGACTAGCTGACGCATTAGAATGACTAGCTGACGCAGTAGAATGACTAGCTGACGCAGTAGAATGACTAGCTGACGCACTAGAATGACTAGCTGACGCAGTAGAATGACTAGCTGACGCATTAGAATGACTAGCTGACGCTGTAGAATGACTAGCTGACGCAGTAGAATGACTAGCTGACGCAGTAGAATGACTAGCTGACGCAGTAGAATGACTAGCTGACGCTGTAGAATGACTAGCTGACGCAGTAGAATGACTAGCTGACGCAGTAGAATGACTAGATGACGCATTAGAATGACTAGCTGATGCATTAGAATGACTATAGCTGACGCAGTAGAATGACTATAGCTGACGCAGTTGACTCTTTAGTAAATGAGCTGCTGATGCTGCCATTGATCCATTTGTGATGCCAGCTTTTAAAATTGAAATCAAAAGAGTTAAATCCCATTTTACAGTATTTATTGAATGCCCTCATTGGTGTTGATAATTCTAAGAGCTGGCTAGCAATGTAACTTGAGATAAAAAAATGCTATTAATTTTTTCTAGACTGTATTTTCAATAGAGCTCAATAGCCTATTGATAGGACTTTTTTTTCTATGTTATTATTTCAAACGAATGCATCATCACATAGCTGGACTTATAATTTCCAAAATATCTGTAGCAAAATCAATTGGAATGAAGAACCCCCAGAATCAAGCCTATGGGATGGCGCCTTTGAAAAAGTGATCAACCTAAAGAGGTTAACTTTTGAGAAATGTGCTTTTAAAAGGTTGACAAGGTTAGTCCTGGCGTGACTTAGCTGCTGTCTAACATTTAACAAAGGCACACTTGTTTTTTTAAATTTATTTTTTTGTTATGGCAATACGAAGCAAAGATATTTCCAATTGAATGAGCGTAATTTTTTAAAATGTAAATGTGTGTGCTATAACTTTATTAAAAAAAAACAACAACTTATTACAAGATAATTATTTGTATTCATCGTCCTTAATCTGGGAATTTCAAATACAATAAATTTAATTTAGATACATTTATTTAAAATGATGCACTTCGATACGGCAATCGCTTATATTTCTTGCATCTTGGTTCTTACAGAAATGCTTTTCGGGGCCTCGACCACCTGAACGAGCTAGTCGTCAGTCATGCAACACTGAAAGAGCTTGGTCCAGACTTCCTAACCGATCTGAAGTCGTTAAAAAAACTGGAGATATCCTACAGCGGCTTGAGAAACTTCGTTCCCGTGTGCTCGATGGATCGCCTGGAGGTTCTCAACTTAACAGGAAATCACGTGACCTCTTTTGAGAACCTCGGCGTCCGCTGTGACTCCACTCCTCGGATGACCATTGAAACTCTAGACGTCAGCAATAATTTAATAAGCGACATCCCTAAATGGTTGTCTCACTCTCTGCCAAACCTTTACTACCTGTACCTGTCCGGAAATCAAATCTCGGAGTACGACTCCTACGAGCATCCGTTCGAAAACTTCAACAACCTGTACCTGCTTGACTTGTCCAACAATTCCTTCACCGAATTCGAAACGGGTTTGATGAAAGGCTGTCCAAATCTTCGCATACTGTCGTTGTCTAAAAACGCGGTGCCTAACCTTTCAAGGGGCTTTTTCAGTCCTATCCCTAACCTAGTGGTCCTGGAGTTGTCTGAGATGGGAGTTGATGATTCAGTTTGGTTAGAAATCGAACCCATGAAGCAGCTGAGAAACTTGAACCTGGCATCTAATCAGCTGACCACCGTAAATGTGACGGTCACGCCTCAGCTGAGTTTAGAAGGACTCGATCTGAGCCACAATAAAATAACCAGACTTCCGGCAGAATTGTTTCAGGGGAATATGACCCATCTGGACCTGTCCTACAACAGAATCCTCGCCCTCCCAAGCTCTACAGTAGGGAAGCTTTCCCTGGCTCAACTTGACCTCAGCCACAATAACATTTCATCGTTGGAAGTTGACGCCTTAAAGCGCATGGACGAGCTCACACTTCTCAACGTCAGTTTCAATGATTTGACCTACATACTGCCCAAATCCTTTGATTCTTTGGAGAAGTTGAAGCATCTTGATCTTGCAAACAACAAGCTGGCCTGGCTTGGTGGAGATCTGTTCACCAAGACAAAGCAATTAGTTCATTTAAATATGTCTCACAACGACCTTCAGCAGATTCCCTTGCTAAATGCCGCAGAGTTCCTACACTATGTTGACGTCAGCTATAACAGAATTTCAAGCTTAGTTCCTTCAACCCTGCAAGACCTTCGCGAGCTGACCATGGTTATTTTAAGCCACAATAATCTGTCTTCTCTGCCATTTAGAATGTTTAAAGGGTGCGAAAAACTGAGGATGATTGATCTGTCTTATAATGCACTGAAGAGCCTGGACAGTGACATTTTCAAAAGTGCTGCAAAAGTCACAGAGATTGACCTATCCAACAATGAGCTGACTGCAACAAGTGATGCCTTTAAAGACCTAGGCAATTTGAAAGTGCTGAAATTATCCTACAATCTTATTACAGGCATTTACAGAGGACCGTTTCCGAATTCCATAGAATATTTGGACCTGAAAAATAACAAAATTACGCAAATATTAGCACACACTTTTAAAACTTTCTCCAATCTCCGAAGTGTAGATCTGAGTGGCAATAAGCTAACCTCCATATCCCGTTCTGATATGGAGATTGCATTAAACATGGTGAATAGCCCTTTATTCATTCTCAGCTACAACCCACTGGTCTGTGACTGCAAACTTGGCTGGCTGAAGGAATGGTTGGAAGGGACATTAAAAGATGTGGGCAATCTACCCAATTTTCAAACTAGTCTCAATTATGGCTGTGAGTCCCCATTCTACTCTCAGAAGAAACCCTTAAACCAGCTCCGGAGGGAGGAATTTCTCTGCAACTACACCAAACACTGCGAGGAGTCATGCGTGTGCTGCGACTACGATGCCTGCTACTGCAAATACATGTGTCCGGGCGCTTGCCAGTGTTATATCGGAGGCGACCTCCATGTTCATCAGGTGCACTGTCAGTCAGCGGGTCTCTTAAATATCCCCACTGGGCTGCCTGAGGGAGCCACTCAGCTGTGGCTGGACGGCAACGCCATAGAAACCTTGCAGCAGTACACGTTCCTGGCCTTAAAGCACGTGATGGAGCTCTACCTCAACCACAGCGAGATCAGAGCAATCCAGAACAACACTTTTAAAGGTCTCAAGTCCGTCAAAGCTTTGTACTTGAATGACAACAAACTAACAGCTTTGCAATCAGTTGCCTTCAGAGGTTTAGACAGCCTTGAACGGTTGTACCTTCACAACAATGACATTTTCTTTATCAACCCGCAGGCTTTTCTCTCACCCCCCAATCTCTATCTGATGGATTTATCAGGGAATGCCCTCATTACTCTATCTATAGATGCACTGTGGAGCTTCACAAATCGTTCGGCAGAATTTGGTTTTAAGGTCAGACTTTCATTAAGCAGAAACCCTCTAAGCTGTGATCCCGAGTTTGCTTGTAAATTTCTGTTATTTATGCAGGCCAACAATGACTTTATTGAAGACATTTCCAAAATTGAATGCATTCCTTCCAGCACAACTGATAAAACATCACACTTCAGCCCTGGTGGGGTTTTACTATTGGATTATCAACGTGAACTTTGCAGTGAAAACCAGACCAGCTATGCTAATATGTCTAGGAACGTTTCTCACTCATCGTCGGCCAAGGCCGAAACATATGCTCTCATTGCAGCCTGTGTGGTCATAGCTTTTGGTCTTGCCCTGCTGATCGTCGCCTACATGAACAGAAACTTTCTTCAAGTTCTTTGCTTTACCCGCTTCGGTCTCAGGGTTTTTAAGATGGCCAAAGCGGCCGATGATAATGAGAGACCTTACGATGCATTCATATCCTACAGCAACAAAGACGAAGAGTTTGTCATTCAGCAACTTGCGCCCAGGCTTGAGAACGGCGACAAGAAGTTTAAACTCTGTGTGCATTACAGGGATTTCCCCGTAGGCGCTTGCATTGCTGAGACCATTGTTAGAAGTGTCGAAGCAAGCAAGAGGACAATTTTAGTAGTGTCCGACAACTTTCTTGACTCTGAGTGGTGTCGTTTTGAGTTTCAGACTGCCCATCAGCAGGTTCTCAGCGAGCGTAGGAACCGGGTGATTTTAATCCTTATGCATGACTTAGATTCTGAGAAACTGGACAGCACTCTAAAAGTGTACATGAGGACAAGGACATACCTAAAGTATGATGACCCGTGGTTCTGGGAGAAGCTGATGTTCGCGATGCCTGACATTCGCCAAAGAAAGCAGGATGAGACTTTGAGACAGCCAAGCATCCATGGGATTGAATACATGCCACAGGAAAGGCAGATCCCAGGGCAGCACCAACAGGGGCGAGTACATATCCATGGCAGTGGTCACCGCTGTGAGACCATTCACAATGACCTGTATGAGATTCCCATCCTGGATTCCAACAGCGTCCACTACCAGCTGGCCAACGGTAGTTGCGGAAGTACACACACCAACTCTGCATTCCACAACTCAGATGGTAGTGACACCACATCGGGCTATCACAATGGCTCTGTGAGTGGCAGCTATGGACATTATGAAGAAGTAGGTCCTGGCTCAAGCTCTGTGCAGAGTACCCCTCACAGGTTTGTTGGAGCGCCTCCACCTGTACCCTTGATACCAATAGAAGGATTCCTTCCAATGGTTAAAGTAAAAAATGCATACATTTACAACTTGTAAAAATGGACATACAATGACAATCAGTATTTGGTTAGAGATTAGGCAAGCTGTGAAAAGTAAATTTTTTTTGCCTAAGAAATTTCTTTGTCAAATATAATGACACACAGTTACTCTAATCTAATTAGAATTAAGTATCTATACAGATCTGTTATACTGAAAACAAAAACAAAACCCATCATGATGCAATGGTATTTGTTTTTGTTTTTTTTTTGTTTTTTTTTAAAATGAATGTAACTGCCTGCTATTAATATTTGTAAATACTTCAGAGGTACCTATCTTTGCATTTGATTTGTTTTATTACAAAGACAAAAACAATTTGTGTAAATAAAATTAAATAAGATTAATAATGATTACACAGAATACTATTGCAAATGTTTGGGCAAATACCTTCATCAGTGCAACAAAAAACACATAAAACATTTAAATAATTATAAATATATATATATATATATATATATATTTATATAAATGTGTCTTACCAAAATGAAAAAAAAAGGATAAGAATGCGCACAAGTTCCAGACTAAAACAAAGCTCATAAGAATAAAAAGGAAGTGAGTGGAATTAAAATTTAAAATCAAACAGCCATGTTAAATTTGTGAATCAGGGTTATTTGGTTTGGAGTCAATGTATCAAATCTTGTTGTCAATGTATTTTTCATATAAATTCTGTTTGTCTTATCAGCCCTTGATGAATGAAATCAGAAAACACAAATTTAATCTAGAAAATGAGAAAATAAGTTATATCATGACGCTATGTAAATAATAAGATCATGATGATTGATTAATTGTATAGCTTTTGTCTCCATGCTATTCTAGCATGCTCAAAGCACTCTGATGTCATTAACTCTATTTTAATAAAAATGTCTTTAAATACCTCTTTAATTTTTTTTTATCATTTTTTAAAATTCTTTCAAAGACTGAGTCAAACTGTTCCATAATTTAGGCGCTACTGCTTCAAAAGGGTGCACGCCGAAAGGACTTCTTTTTGTGTCCATCCACACAGGGAACCCTGGGCAGGAACTGTGATGAAGAGCACAGAATCTTTAAGGATAAATGTTTGAACCTAATTCTTTTAGATATGCAGGTGCAGAGCCTTCCATACAGCTGTACACCAGGGAAAGAGTTTTGTGGTTAACGCTTTCACTCAAAGGAAACCAGGGCCAGGGGAGATACAAGTAACGAATCTCAAGAGTTTCTATTGGGCCAGAAAACATATATTATGGCCAATTTCATTTCTACTTTTGTTGATGTTAAGACTTACTGATAAATGGCCAGACTGTTAAAAGCATGTTTAGAAACATTATTACTCACACATCATGTTGTGGTTATACTTTCAAATTAGTTTTACCCCAAAAAAAATTAAATTTGTTTTTAGTTTCTTAGTCATCAGAAACAAAATTGAGGATTTATTTTTTCATGTTAAAAAGAGAAAGAAAAGAAAACAGTTTACAAAACATAACTATTAACATTTGTTGTTACAACATTAGGATGGTTCTGTCCATAAAACATTATTAGGATGGTTCCTGTCCATAAAACAACATTAGGATGGTTCCTGTCCATAAAACAACATTACGATGGTTCCTGTCCATAAAACAACATTAGGATGGTTCCTGTCCATAAAACAACATTAGGATGGTTCCTGCCATAAAACAACATTAGGATGGTTCCTGTCCATAAAACAACATTTGGATGGTTCCTGTCCATAAAACAACATTAGGATGGTTCCTGTCCATAAAACAACATTAGGATGGTTCCTGTCCATAAAACAACATTAGGATGGTTCCTGTCCATAAAACAACATTAGGATGGTTCCTGTCCATAAAACAACATTAGGAGGGTTCCTGTCCATAAAACAACATTAGGATGGTTCCTGTCCATAAAACAACATTAGGATGGTTCCTGTCCATAAAATCATCTGACATCTTGTAACAATAACAAATAACTAGCTTCAAAGTAGCATCTCAGTTATTTGTAGAGATGCACCAGCTACAGAAGCAAAATTTTACCACAAAAATAAATAAAAAAATTGCTTAATTTTTTGGATATCTTATAAATGTATGTGAGACCCAGAATCTTTGCTGTTGGATATTTTGATTAAAAAAATAAGGTTGCTTTAAAAAGTTTTTTCAACATCAAACCCATCTTTCCATCATGCTTTAAATGTTTGACAGTGTAACTCATTTTAACAGAGATAAAGGTGCAATATTATATATGCCTTAGATATTTTTGCATATGCTACAATTATTTTTGATCATGTTTTTTGTTTACTTTGAAATCCAATATTTATATATATATATATACATATTTGAAAATAGTACATAAAGACAAAATTTGGGTGTGCGTCTTAAAACACTAAATAAAAAAAGAAAACTTAAGTTATGGAAATCCTTAAAATTAGATCCAGTTGTTTTGGTATATAATATAATTTCATAAAATAATTTTGCTGAGTTTTTGGCTATCATGAAATAACAATAACTGCCAAATGTTAAAAATGAAATCTTTTTATGATTATTTTTTTATACTTGAATGCGAAATAAAGCATCATTGGTCCAGATAATATTCATGCATGTCAGTTTTTATATTGTAATATTGTAATAAATCTTTTAAAAAACATCATAAAATGTATCATTCTCCATCATTATGTTTGTAACCAATGTATTATAATGCAAGCTTAATTTAAAACATGGAATACAAAGTCAATTTATTATACTTATAGTAAAACATGGATGTCATATTGTTGTTTTTAACAAAAATATTTTTCTTCTTTGTTACCCATTATGGAGCTGAAACACATTAAAGTTGGTTTTAAATCTTTTTTTTAAAATTTACTTTTTTGGTATCTAGAAGTACAAAACACAAGACATAAACAATTTATTATGGTGTATTTTTCTTTCAAAAACTGTGTTCATTTAGCTTTTAAAAATGACTAAAATTGTGTCAACCATTTCTCAAGTAAGTACATTGTTAATAGTTTGAAGGTAGGTAAAGAAAACTTCCCTATATTTTCAACAAGAGCAGGTGTTCTCAACCTTTTCTTACAGTAGTGTACCACTTCTCAATTTCTAAATGCGAAACTCACCTGATAAAAATTATTGAAATTGAAAACATGAATGTAAAAATAATTCATTTATGGAGTGTTCAATGTTTTATCGCATTGGTAGAGGAAAAAAATTGCAGCACTGCAAATAAATGTCCTTGTCAAGAACCACTGAACTAAGGAAACAGTCTGACACAATTCAAAAAAATTACCATATTATCCGTATCTTCTTTATTCTTACACAATTATTTTATTGTATTGTTTGATGACAAATTATGGTGCTTTAAATATTGCATACATTATTAACTGCAGATGATAACAATTTTGTTTTCATATTTTTTAAAAAGTACTTAGTTATCTTGAACAAATGTTTATTAACATGGATGTGAAGTGTATGAAATACTCTCTCTCTATAAAAAAAACATCTGATATTCTTCATTCATGATATTAACTTGTTAAATATTTATGATGTACAATTTTTGTTGTCAAGCATGAGATAAGAACTGTTCAATGTTGATGATCTTCATTGTATCATAATCCCTGACATAGCAAAGAGAGTGTATAATTATAATTGCATCTATAGGCTGCACTTTGTATGACTAAGAATTTATTAAAGGATATACCTTCCGTAAGTTTTTTTGCTCAAAGTTAAATTTATTTATTTTAAAAAAAAAAAATTTTAATGTAACATTTTAAGAAATTAGACCTTATTAAAAACAGAATAAAAATGTAATCTCAGTCAAGTGTTTTTAATCTTTAGATCAGATTATTTCTTAAAACGGGAAATCATAATTTTTTTGCACTTGTTTTTGTATCTCTTTAAGTCTAATTTAGGTTGTTCCAAGATCTCCAGTGGCTCATTTGCTCGTCACTGTTTTCTCACTGTGGTTTGCATTGTGATAAAATAGACCGGCTCCCATCATAACTGTCTCAAAGAAAGATTGAGCAATGTAATGTGTTTTATGTTCCTTGTTTACAATTTGACTGCAAACTTTTTGACATGTAATATACTTTTCTTTTTTTTTTTTCTTGATATATGACTTAAATTTTGGACATTATGATGCTGCAATAAGCAAAACGTTCATTTCATGGGTCATGTTTGAACAATTCACATCACAGATACACATTTTATGACTCTGAAAGCTGAATGACGTAAAGAAACCACTGACATGGAGTCACTTAACACAAGAAAAAAAAAGAAATTTGAGTCAAAAAAAAAAAAAAAAAAAAAAAAAAATTTAATCAAAAAAAAAAAAAAAAGAAATAACTGAAGAGACCAAAGTGACTTGAAATATTGTACTTTAAAAATATTTTTATTTTTATTTTTAAATTTTAAACAAAAAAATTAAAATAAAAAAGTAAATATTTACAAAACAATTTATGCAGGCTTAAAATTTCAGCGCAACCAAAGATAAATAAGCTACTTGACTGGTACATGAACTGGGCATGTGAACTAAAAAAAAGGTCTTTGTTGATAACTTTACTCATTAAAGCATTGTAGGTTTTATTCATGATAACTTGTTACAATAATCTAATGTGTAGAAGTTACATATAACAAAACATTAGATTATATTTTTAACAGAAATAAAGTAAAAATTTGATAATAAGTTGAATAATTATACTTTTTAATAGAAAAATAACAATTATAAATGGACATTAAAAATATTACTATATTTTATCAAACATGATTGATAGCTTGATTTTAAAAGTTTATAAAAGGAATGAAAGATTACATTTTAATTTTCATTTCATTATCAAATCAGATTTAGGCTAATGATTTATTTTCTTAATTTATAAGTAATGGTAAACCTATCTTAGGTCTAGCTTATTTTATGGGGGGAAAAAAACAACAAATAATGTTCTAATTTGTTTTCAATAGCAATTCATGTGAAAGATGTATAATTTTATTTAATCAGCAGATATTGTAAAAAGCATTAAAACATCACATTAATGTACATTTGAT